ATGATGATGATGATGATGATGATGATGATGATGATGATGATGATAATAATAATAATAATAATAATAATAATAATAATAATGGAGGGAGGGAGGGAGGGACAAAACTCTCTGAATGCTTAGCTTTGCTATTTGCACTTTGCAGAAGTTGCAGATGGTTGGAACGATTTTGTTTCCATCTTGGGATCACCAGTTGGGCAAGGACTGATTGAGGAGCTATGTGATGTGACGTGTCTTCATTGGATGAATTTGCTGATCTGGATGTTGTGACCATCCCCTAAACTCCTACTGTTGTTTCTTTAAACAGGCGGCTGACCCTATTGTAAGCCTTCTAGGAACCTCAACTGAAGAAGGGAAGAAGGTTCAGAGGAATGGAGGCGAAGTCTTCCCAGCTGTCTTCCGTCGGATCAGGGAACAAGAAATGGCAAGAACATGACTGGGAGTTTCCTAAATCCTTCTAGGCATTCATATCTACAGCAAGAAGCCTGGTGAAAGTGAAGGATTGGTTGCTTCTGGCTGCACTGGAGTTGACCTTTCATAAAGAGGGATGGATAATCCTTTCTGGTGAAACATTTTCACTGTTGCATAAGGGTTTTCTTGGTTCACATGTTTGCTTCTTAATTTTGCCCCTAGAAGGAATGCATCCAGTGGGCGTTTCTGATGACCACATAAAGGTCAGAAGTACACAGCAGGACCAAGGCGAGCCTTTTTTAAGATTTGTCACTTTATTTTGTATATAATAAACTTGGAACGTTTTGTTAAAATAAGGGACTTGGGGGATCCATCTCCCCTTGACTTGAGAGCATGCGTAAGACCCCTTTGGGACGTGGTTCCTTCTTGTATTTCTTGTCATCCTCTTCTATCTCCCCCAGAGCTCACTTTCAGACCTACATCTTGTACCTCCAATAACTGGTACATGTTACAGGGCAAGTGCCATCCCCTCTTCCTCCAGATCTTTGCCAGTTCTAAAATCCTTTGGGGAATTTTTGGGAGGGGAATTACTGCAGCGACAAGTTGCCAGCCTGATCACCTCATAATGTCATATGGGAAAAAAACAGCAGTAGAGCTTATATGCAGCATTTACAGCCCTCTAAGCAGTTCACAGCATGTTGCCCTCAACAATCCGGGTCTTCATTTTACCAACTTTGGAAAGGTGGAAGACTGAGTCCAATCCTTGAGCTGGTCAGGATTGAGCTGCTGGCAGTTGGTAGAATTAGCCTGCAATACTGCATTCTAACCACTGCGCCACCATGGCCCCTATGCAATGGTGGTGACCAGTGCAATTTGCACAGAAGCTGAGATGCAGATGGGTGAAACGCCTTCTGCCCAAAGCCATCCGTTAGGATACTTGATCTTTCGTGATTCATCCCTTCACTAGCTTAAGTTACGGGAGAAACTGTACTTTGCTCACCCACTTTTCTGTATGAAAGCCAGGCTCTTTGCTTAGTCATTAAATGTTTCGCTGCCTAAAACACACAGGAGAAACTCCTGTCCTTTGAAAGCAGCAGATACACAACAGCTGTCATTTTCCATGTTGACTGTAGAGCAGGTCCTTTGCTGAGGCGGCTTCCTTTGCGGGAGAAAAATGCTTGTTCTGGGATAATGATGATCCATTGCAGCCATGACAAATGACCTAGCTTCCCTCCTTCCCAATCCGTTGACTCACTCCTTTGTCCTGCCTACACCTTTCAGACAGTCTTTCCACACCAAAGTTTTTAGTCCATTGCAGTGGGTGGGTGTCATTTTCTCTTCCCTTTTTGCCTTTTCGATATTTCACTTCCCCTCCAGGACGGAATTAAAAGTAAAACGATGAGATCATAATCAGTGCGACTACAAATAGGCTGGGAGAGCTTACATAGCAATAACAATAGCACTTTTATACCACTTCACAGTGCTTTACAGAGTCAGCATATTGTCCCCAGCAATCTGGGTCTTTATTTTACCAGCCTTGGAAGGATGGAAGTCTGAATCAACCTTGAGCCAGTCAGGATCGAACTCCTGGCAGTAGGCAGAGTTATGTGGCAATACTGCATTCTAACCACTGTGCCACCACGGCCCCTATCCAAATCAATCTCTTTCATGTCTGACTGCAAGTGGGTAGCTGAAATGACCCAATAGGCACGTTAGGCCCCATTTTTTAGAAGGCCTCTTTTGGTCTTTTGCCTCCATTAAAAATATTTGGGGGAGGAGGCAAATAGTTCTACCCACAATATGAATGGGGGTAGTTTATTTTTATTTGCATTAATTCTATTCTGCTTCAACTATACAGTTCTGAGTGGCTTAGAAAAGTTAAAAGACCTGAAATTGTAGGACAAAATTACAAAGGAGAGCTAAAATTTAAGAATGGAAACCTTCCAATAGACCAGTGGGAGTTGAAGTCTGGACATCTTCAAGTTGCCAAGTTTGGGAAACACTGCAATAGACCAAGATTTGAAAGGCCACAGAAAATTATTATTAAATGTCAACACTTAAAAATAACTCACTTGGATGGAAATAGTTCAGCCCCAAACAAAACTGGAGTCAGTCGACATCCAAATCTAAGCCTACCTGGATTAATTAGCTAGTTAAATTAACTTAAGTTTGGGGAATTTGCAGGATGTGTTTATCATTCCCGACCCCCGTGCACACAATGTATATTTTAGCGTTGGTACAAGATTATGCATGTACAATACCACAAACATCCACATTATTATTTAAATAATCATAAATTTTAATTACAGAAAGATATGTATGTATTTTCTGTAATTTCCTTCGCTGCTACTAACCTCAAGGAAGAGTCGGGAGCATTGAAGATTCCCATAAATGTCTGTGCCACCCCAGCAAGGGCTTGGGAATTCCTTGTTTTTAAAGGAAATTTAAAATGGCATTTCTTACGCCGCTTCAGCCTTTTCATTACATCTGTTAAGGGCTAGAAATGTATTTTAAAACACTTAAAATGGGGGGGGGGAAGGGAATTAAAGATACTCTCACTAATACCTTCTACCACCGTACTGCCAGTGCTATCTTCTCAACTTGTGCAGAATTGGAATGCACAGAATTGGCAACGTGTCATAAAAGCTCATCACGCATAACGTTATCTGTCTACAGAGACTTAATATGTTCTCAATTCAGGGTGAGTCACTGTCAAAGGGAAATGCAAGGTGATTGTTGTGTGCGCGCAAACCTTGTAAACACTCCCCAAGTTATGAGTCACTTCTCAGTTGGGTTAGAAATTCTTGTTACGTTTATTGGGTTGTTGTCGTTGCTAACCCCACCCCCACCCTGCAGCTTCCCCGCTGATCCAGGCGGCCTCGTTACTTTCTGGTTGGCAGCCTGATCCGTGATGTGCATCAATGTTGAATTCTTGAGTAACAAGGACTCGGTGTAGCAAGCTGGGTAATTCCTAGGAAGCAAAGCACAGGATGAGAGAGTCTGGCTCAGGGTAAAGGCATGTCTCCCAAAGTCCAGACACGAGAATTTGTAGACCTCAACATGATTAAGACCACAGGTTGGCTTGCCTTTTTAAGGAAAACCTCCTTACTCTTCCTAAAGCTGGATCAGGCTAGATTTTTATGACTTTTGTTCCTTTTGTGTTGGATGGTCCTGCAAGTTATCAATATTTGTGCACTGGGGCCAAGAACCTAAAACGGAAGTCCTACCACTCTGGTCCTTTTCTCCAACCTGTTAAAAAATGGCCTTATTTGAGCAATGGGTACCCTACCATCACACGTGGCAGATCAATTCCAGATGGCTGTTGTTTTTTTTAATACCATGAAAAAGCTTTTGTAATAATCAGCTATTTTTCCCCCAAGAACCTTCTGTGACAGCGCAAGGATGAATATACATAAAGTAGGGGAGATGCTTTCAGTTTGAAAGAAGATGCTTTTAAAATACCTGTTGAGCAGAAGACAAAAAACCTTTGTCTGAAAGTCTCCCGTCTAAGCAGTTTAGAACTAAAAAGCACCCAACCTTTGGGTGCATATTTCATTTCGAAGCCAGTTGTGTGTTGGTCTTTACTCAATCACTTGGTACATGCATTCCAACCAGAGTGTTCAGCAACTTCAAAAGCAGATCCCACAGAGCCAGGGGTCCCTAAGATGCCCCCCTGATGATTTTTAATTTTGTAAAAAATGAATGGGAAGCTACTCACTAGTAAGTTGCAAAGCAAAACTATGTCCACCCCCAGCAGAGTCTGGTCTAAATCTTCTTGTGGTTGTCTAGACCAAAATCCTCTTGATCTCGGAGGAGAAATATATAATGGCAGCTGACTTTTTACAGTTTGGTTTGCCTTCTGGACATACAATGCTTGGTCTCAGCCACCAAGACCACTATCTTGTGTGAATGCTCATAACAATGCACTCCGAATTTCAAAGGGATCTTCAATTTTTGGGGGAGGATTCTACTCCAGAGCCATTTCTTGTGTTTTGGGAAAAGGTTTGAAAGTGCAGGTGGGAAAGTCATCAAAATTCACTTGAGGTGAATGCTTTTTCATGGAAGAAAAAGTGCAAAGATCAAATTCCTCCCACCAAATTTATCCTGCTCTTTGATAGGGCCACTTTATCTGGACTACAAAAACTCCAGTCGCCTGGGTTTTTCCTGCCTAGATTTTGTTTGCTTATCTTTAATTAAAATAAGTCAACAAACTCCTTGAAGCCTACTTTGTTTATGCACCAAACACAAAGCCATCCTAGAAGGTTTCCAGAGTGGATTACGGACCAAATGTTTACTTTCTATGTCCTAACTGCATATGTGTAGTTGTTGTATTCTGAGTAACTTTCTTGTAAATAAGCAGAAATTTCAAATTTGAGCCAATTATTCAGCAATGAAGTAGGAGACACAAGGAACAACAAAAGTCACATTGATAGTGTCTATCCAAGCATACAGTATACGTAGTCCAGGTAGTCTTTAAGGTAAAGATAAAAGGTTCCCCTTGCACATATGTGCTAGTCGTTCCCAACTCTAGGGGTGTGTGTGCTCATCTCCATTTCAAAGCCGAAGAGCCAGCGCTGTCCAAAGACGTCTCCGTGGTCATGTGGCCAGCATGACTAAATGCCGAAGGCTCACAGAACACTGTTACCTTCACACCAAAGGTGGTCCCTATTTTTCTACTTGCATTTTTTACATGCTTTCGAACTGCTAGGTTGGCGGAAGCTGGGACAAGTAACAGGAGCTCACTCTGTTATGCAGCACTAGGGATTCAAACTGCTGAATTGCTGACCTTTCTGATCGACAAGCTCAGAACCTTAGCCACTCGGCCATCACGTCCAGGTAGTCCTTAACTTACAACTATTCATTTACCGACCATTCGAACTGACAGCAGTTACATACAACCGATACTTGCACTTAACAACTGTCACAGCCTCGCCACTGTCATGAGATCAAAATTTGGTTGCTTGGCAATTTGCATGTATTGATGACGGAGTCCGGGGTCATCTGATTGCCATTTGGGACCTTCCCAGCCGGTTTCCGACAAGGAAAATCAGTGGGGAAAGCCGGATTTGCTTAACAATCATGTTATTAACAACTGCAAGTGATTCACTTAACAGCCATGGCAAGAAGGTCATAAAATTAGATGTGACTCGCTTAAGAACTGCCTTGCTTAACAGTGGAGATTCTGGCCTCAGTTGTCTCAGATCATAAGTCGAGGACCACCTGTATTTGCGCAGGAAATTCATTCTTTCCAAATGAGCCGTGGAGCTTACAAATAAGCAAAGAACCATGTTGCAACTCAG